GTCAAACATTTTGTTAGATTGTTGTTGCAGTGTTTAGCTTTTGTTATTTTGTATAGGTTTCCTAAATTAATTCATTGTAATTCATATAAAAACATAAATCCATCCATTATCTGTACCCGTTTATTCCTTTCAGGGTCACTGGTGTCCATATCCAGCAGTGACAGTGCGAGGGGTGGGGTACACCCTGGACAGGTAGCAAGTCCATCACAGAGGATTTAATATAAATACAGAATTTTTTAAACAAAGCTTTTTATCTTTCCAGCTGGGAAATCTCAAATACTATTTGAGGTTTCCTCTTTATAGTGACGTCAATAATTTTAAATCAGATTCCAACCAACTATTTACGACTGAGTATTGGAGCCACACAACCAGATTTATTTTATTACAAGAATAAAGTCGTAATGCTACGACTTTATTCTCATATGACTTTTATTCTTTTATCATAATATTAAAACTTTCTCTTAATTAAAAAATCTTGTGTGGTCCTAAACCTGTCAAATATTAATGAATTATAATTAGGAAGATAGATTAGGATAATAATCCAGGTATCAGAATAAGCAGGAATCTGAAAATGTACTGAGGTCATTAATGTGATTTAATCCTCAGTTTGATGTGGTGGGACACACGTCCTCTCCCTTTGGGGGGGTCTCCCTGAGCAGAGGGAGGTGTGGACTCGTCTCCACATCAGACGGCTCAGTTTAAGTTCAAACTKTAAATTGATCACAAACTGCCTTTTATGTCCCTGAAGGAGGAAAAACTGTGGAGTCCGGTTCTTAGTGGGCCAGCTCGTGATGGACCAGTTTATAGTGGGAGCCGCAGGAAGGACAGCGCTGAACGTCTCCCTCGTGAAGCCAGAACCACACGATGGCAGCCTGGTCCTCCTCACCTGCGCGACAGGTCGTCGTTATTAACGCTTTGGTTTTAGGAGGAACAATAAAATCATCCTGAAGAGGGGAACTCAGAGGCAGCCCACCAGCCTCTTGTTCTCGATGCTCGGCACGATGTGAGGGTCCTCCCTCGTGCCGGCGTACTGTTTGGGCTTCTGGATGTTGTGTGGATCCTGCAAATGTTACAGAAATTAATTTTATTTAAAAGGGATTAGTTCTGAGCTAAACGTCTGGTTTTAAAACAGCAGCAGCATCTAGCTGTAGCAGTTCTGTTGCAGCCTGGGTTCACATCATAACATTTCTGCCAGAATTAAAGACTGCAGAGGAAAAGTTTTAAAAAACAGCTACAGCTAATATTAATTTAAGACATCCAAGTCCAGACGACATTAGTTTAATACTGTCCAAGCTCAAGTGCTACTGCTAGCTGCTAATGTGAAACTGAGATGTAAAGGTTTAAAAAAAAAAATCAGCATTTTACCAAAAACTGCTGACGATAGAGACTGAAGTCATTTTAGGCCCTGTCTACACAGAAACAAGTTTTTATTTAATTAGCTTCAGCCTGGTGTCCACATGGAAACAGACACTAAACCACATGTCAAACTTAAGGCCTGCGGGCCAAATGTGGCCCACCACAACATTTTGTGGGGTTCCTGTGACATGTATATTTTTYAGTTAAATGTCAAAGAAAACATCTTTATATTTAAGAAACTTTGCATAAAACACGCAATTTTATCCATTTTGTCACAAACTGACATTTTCTTTTGAACTCTGCTTAAACAACGTGAAACAGGAAGTGACATCAAAGGGGAAGGTGAAACAATATTTGAACTCTGACTCATCTCTGAAAGAAACACAAAATAATCTTAACAGATTAGTCGTAGCAACGCTGTTCACTTTCAGACATTCCCCTTTGACATCACTTCCTGTTACAGGCACTTTCAAATCAAAATAAGCTGTTTTGAAGCCAGCACTGACCATAAACTACACCTCCCATAATGCATGTTGATTATTTTACCCATCACTAAGAGGAGCTGCACACGGTTCAAAATTCAACGTGTAAAATCTCTGTTTTGTTGCGTATTTATCGGCTACTTTTGCTGCAGCCCGGTTGTACTGGGAAATGGGAATTTCCCACTTAAAAGTCACAAATCTGAACTGGAACGCCCATCCAGTGGGAATTCCCTGTTGGAAGTGGGAGAGTTCAGAATCCAAGACGGCAGCTCCTCACCACAGCTCAACAGTGAGTAAAACTCTTACTTTTAATAGTATTTGTTTGATTTGTTTCACATTTAGTCAGTCGTACACGTGGTACTTTTCAGTGTTTATAAGGTGGTGTAAAAATGCTGTTTCTATGCAGGAAATACCAGGTAGACCTCAGTGTTAGCAGAGCTCAGGAACGAAATGTTTTACGTATAATTACAACCATAATGGCCCTCTGTGAAAGCCTGAGTTTGACACCCCTGCTTTAAACAGTATCTTAAACCAGGTTCCAGAGTAGGGGCGGTTCTAGGGGCGGGGCCACAGGGGCACTGGCCCCATCTGAAATCTGATTGGCCCCCTGAAGTGCCCCTGTCCTTTCACTCATCAGTCATTGCCCAGAAACGATGGTGGTTGCAGTTCCAGTTGCAATTACTAGTGGTGCCAGTGAGTCAAAGAAAGTCTTTGGCCGAGCAGCCAAAGACTGTCAGCCAAAGACAGACACGACAGCTGAAATTGAACGGGACGCAGCCGCCTGAGTGACAGACCGTGCGACCAATCAGAGCGCGACTTTCAACTGAGCTGACCAATAGGGTTCGAGGAAAATAAAAAACGATAAATTGGCTAATTTTGAAGGAAATAATTGATTGACCAAATAATTCTTCAACGTTAGTTTTATGTTTTTCTTTTTTTTATTTATTTGAGTTGTCAACTTCACAGTGGCTATTTCGTAGCTCATCTCTGGCTCTTCTAGTTGGACATAATTGCCTGTTAGCAAAATATCTCACAAATAAATGAATCGATTGTAATGAAACTCTCAGAAACTATTTGTTCGATGTGCATCTACAACTACTTGACTTATGGTGCTGATCCATTTCAAGATTACAGCGACAGCTGATCAAACGTAAACACAAAAGTGGCTGAAAGTTTAATTTTTGCAGATTTTGAGATGAAATATTACCTGGTAGAAGTTGAGTGACCCTCAACACAAACTTTGMCTGCCAACACATTGTGCATAATATTTGATAAGGTTTGACTAAAACAGCTCTAATTTTTAAACTTCATATGAAGATCTAACATTTTGCATTTGTATTTCTTCAACACAATTTCTTTGTTCTATAGGGTTTTTTTATTTAAATTAACTAGAATTAATTTTAGATTAGGACAATGAGTTATTTGTACCTTAGCTTGATGAGACTGTGTGCGTTTTAATCATAATTCCACAGTACACATGTTTAATTAGTATTCTTTATTATAGTTGTAATTTAGCTGTTTAACCCACAGAGTCAACAACAAAATTCTGACTTGGACACATAGACTAATACTGACTCAAAGACCCCTCCCTGATCCACAGACCCCTCCCTAACCCACAGACCCCTCCCTGACCCACAGACCCCTCC